AAAAATGAAGGGGGGGAAATCGGAGGGGGAGACGAACCATGAGAGACTATGGACTCTGAGAAACAAACGGGGGGTTCTAGAGGGGAGGGGGGTGGGGTGATTGGTATTAAAGAAGGCACATATTGAATGGAGCACTGGGTGTTATACTCAAACAATGAATCATGGAACACTACATCAAAAACTAATGATATAATGATGTAATGAATGGTGATTAATGTAACATAATAAAATTTAAAAAAATTTATATTCAAAATGGTAAAAAAAAAAAAAGTCCTCTGGGTGATTCTGATGCACACTAAAGTTTGAGAACCTCTACTTTAGGTTAACCAGCCATTCATCAGTCACATCTGTAGAGGCAGCAGTGAGGATTCATCTTGACTTCCTGCTAGGGCCCAGGGGATCCAGAACTGGTCAGCCAGGGGCAAGCTGCAAGTGCAACCAGAGGGTTAAAGGGCTGTTTTTCTTTTGGTTTGTTTGTTTGTTTTTAATTGTGATTCACCAGCGGATGGAAAATTTCTGACTTCGTTGTCGGTAGGGCAATATATGTTATCTCTTTGAGACAGAAGAGGAAGTCTTAATGATACTAAAACTTTTACATGCTTTTTTTTGTAACTGCAAAATAACTGAAATCACATTAAGTACTTAACAATTATCTTTAGTGATTTCAGTTTTTTTAAAATTTTTTACACTTGTTATTTCTAATATGTACAATATGATCATATTTGCATGTTTTAATTAACATTTATACTTTAGGGAGGTAAAAATGATTGGCATCCAGTATGAGGTTGTAGTAAGAAAAATGTTGGGAGATATTTTCTGATCTAGGTAAACCTCTCATGTCTTCAAGTCCCTAATTTCACCTCCACCCCAGATACTTCTATGACTTCAAGTCTTACTCCCCTTACTCTGTTCCAACCACACTGGCCTCCTCTTTGTGGTTCCTAGAACCACCGTAGGGCCTTTACATGTAACAGTTTCTGTTTGGAATATCCTGCCAACAGATACCTGCATAGCTAGCTCCCTCACTTCCTTCGAAAGTGGCATTCTCAAAGAGAACTCACCCTACTAGTCTCCCTAAAATCTCCTACACACACCCCATTCCTAGCACACAAACACTTCACTTCATGTCATGTTCCCAGTGTTCATTTTTTCTCTGTTTTCAGTGTTCATTTACCATCTAACTATATGTGTGTGAGCACATGCATGCATATGTATATATACTTTGTTTCCGGTAGAATGTAAGTGTTACTAGCATAGATTTTTATCTGTTTTATATATTGTCTAGAACAATGCCTGACACATAGTAGGTACTCAGTTATTATTTGTTGAGTGAATATCTCCAAACATGCATTTATGTGACCGGTAGTAATTAGGGGTACATGATAGCATTTTTGCCTTATCATTATTACCCAAACTAAGCTGAGAGGCACCTTGTTTTTTCTTCTCCTGAATTGCCTCTGTTCTAATTAAGAGGGATGGGGAAAAGCAATACGTAAGAAAATAATTACAGCTTCTTTTTGCTTCCTGTGGATCTTGTAGCTCACTGCCAGTTAACCTTGCTCCTTTCTGTCTTAATGCCTGCAAGAAGGGAATGGGGCAGGCTGGTGTGAGATGACGCCTTGTAGGTCACAGTAAATAAGGGGTTCCCTGGGGAAGATGAAAAAGTCCTAGAGATGGATGGTGGTGATGGTGATAACAGTGTGTATATACTTAATGCCACAGAACTGTACACTTAAAAATGGCAAATTTTGTTATGTATATTTTACCATGATTAAAAAAAAACCCAAACACCGTGGTTCTGAAAGTGTAGTTTCAAATCATTAGTAGCAGCTTCATCTAGGAACTTGTTAGAAATGCAGATTCCCAGCCTCCACCCCAGAACTGTTGATTCTGAAAGTAAAGGTAGGAGTCCACAGTGCTTTGTGTTAACAAGCCACTCAGGTGGTTCTGACACACACTGATGTTTGAGAATCACAGCATTACAGCATTTTGTTTTAATCCCTAGAGCTATGAAAAACTATTGTAAAGTTTTATAGAATATCTTCATGCCCTGGTAACTGCATAAAGTTGCCTTGGTGAGAAATTCTGACCACTTTAGGGGTAAAATTGAAAAGTGCTATTGAAATGTTTTGAAAATTACTAGTTTAGCGCTTCAAAAAACAAACTTAAAATTTAGAGGGCCTGCTGTGTTTCAAGCGTCTTACCAAATGCTCTCACATTTGTTTTTCCACCTAACCCTCAAATCAGTCCTGGTGCAGTAAATACGACATTATCTACATTTAAAATGAGAAAAGGAGCGGAGATGGATTACACTGTGATTGATCTACTTTCCTCCTGGTGCACACTTACTGCCACTAGGTGGCACTGGTGGGGTGGTTACCCAGACCTGGGCAAGGCCTTCTGGGATTACAGACTTAGAAAATGAAATAAATGTGGCCCCTTATGAAAGAAATCAGAGGGCAAATAACCATAATCTTTATATAAACAGGTTCCAATTTCTGGTATGTAAGAGGATCTCTGAAAATCCACTCCTGTATAAAAGCAATGAGGGGCACCTAGGTGGCTCAGTGGGTTAAGCGTCCGACTCTTGATTTCAGTTCAGGTCATGATCTCAGGGTTGTGGGATCAAGCCCTGCATTGGCTCAGTGCCCAGTTGCAGAGTCTGCTTCTCCCTCTCCCTCTGCTCCTCCCCCGCTCACACACACACACTCTCTCGCTCAAATAAGTAAAATCTTTAAAAAAAAAATAAAAGCAATGAAAACACTGTGAAAAATTCTTAAAATCAATTTTTTCAGAACTAGTAAATAACCAGAGGCTTGTGACAATCTGAGTAGCATTTCTCCAAGAAAAATGACTTAAAACATGGTAAGAACAGCAAGCTTTATAATAGCTTTAACAGTTTTCTCTCTCCTTTCAGCTTCACAGTAGCCTTGAAAATGAACAGCCTCTCAGTGAAAACCTGCAGTTTTAGCAGGCACTGAAGAGAATGGATTTGGAGGTCCTTAAAATCCCCAGCCCCCAAGAATTGTTACAATTAGCTTGTCTGGCACTTCCCTGGAAACTCCCACTCACTGGGCTTGCCTGGTTTTCACCTGACTCAGCTAATTCACTGGGAACAGCTTCTCCCGACCCACTCCAGAGCATGCTGCAACAGGCACATGAAGCCCTTTGGCAAAGGCTGGCAAACTTGCTGGTGGAAAGCATCGAAGGACGTCCCTGTCCAATGGTTAGGTAACCACTAAACTAATACAACATAGAATACAAGGGACTATAGATTAATGGATTGAGAGTCCAGAAATAAACCCTCACATTTATGGTCAATTGATTTTCTATATTGTACCGAAACAATTCAACAGGGGGAAGAATTTTTTCAACCAAAGGTGCTAGGAAAACGATATCCACCTGCAGAAGAATGGAGGTGGATCCTTTCCACACATAATATACCAATATTAGCTCAAAATCGATCAGAACTAAATGTTAAAACTAAAACAATCACATTCTTAGAAGATAACATAGAAGCTTTTGTGACCTTGTATATGACACCAAAAGCTCAAGCAACAAAAGAAAAAAAAATGGATAAGTTGGACCTCATCAAAATTTGAAACATTTCTGGGATGGTGAAAATCTTTTGGAATTAGATGGTAGTGGTCAGTACACAACTTTGTGAATAAGCTAAAAACCACTGAATTACACTTTAAAAGGATGAATTTGGGGCGCCTGGGTGGTTGAGTCAGTTAAGCGTCCAACTCTTGTTTTTGGCTTGGGTCATGATCTTGGGGTCAGGGAGAGTCTGCTTTAGATTCTCTCTCTGCCTCTCTGTCCTTCCCTTTCCCTAAAATAAATTTTTTTTAAAAAAAAATAAATTTTATGATACGGAGTTACGTATGTATCAATAAGTGTTATTTTAAAAATCTTTACACAAATATAAACATGCCCATATAAAGTCTGTAGTAGGGGGCGCCTGGGTGGCTCAGTCGTTAAGCGTCTGCCTTCGGCTCAGGTCATGATCCCAGGGTCCTGGAATTGAGCCCTGCGTCCAGCTCCCTGCTCAGCGGGAAGCCTGCTTCTCCCTCTCCCAGTCCCCCTGCTTGTGTTCCCTCTCTCGCGGTCTCTCTCTCTGTGTCCAATAAATAAAATCTTAAAAAAAAAAAAGTCTATAGTAGTATCTTTTAAATTGTTACATTTAAATTTTTTTAACAGCAAGAGAAAAAAATGAAGAAATGTTTCTCACCAGCTTTGGGAAGTCCACCTCTAACCATATTTTACTCCTATTATCTTTTGCCTCCCCTTATTGCTCCAACTCTGAAGCTACAAAGATATTCAAGTTGGAGTTTGGAACTGCAAAGGTACAGACTATTTGTCTACTAACAGAGATTTTAAAAACTACTTGAACTTTCCTGTGAGCTTTTTTATCCACATAGCTGTGAGAGCACATTCTTGTTGCATTAAAGGCAAGTCTTGGGCATTCCTTTTTTGGTTACACAGAGCATTAGGCAGTGCCAGGACACTAATCAGATTTATCACTGGTACCTTTCCAGCTTTCTTTTCTGTTCCATTGTACTTCATAGCACTCCCCTTTTTCCATGTTCTAGGACTGTAGGGCACGTCTGATTCTGAATCCTATACCAGCCTTGGTCTCTCTCTTGTACCATGACTCCCATACTCAGAATCACCCCCCCCCTTTCCTCTTACCCTCATCAAAACTATTTCTGGCTGTCTCTGCTTTGAATTCTGATTAATTATGACTGATATAAAATTTTCATGCTAAGGCTGAAGGTGAAAGTGGCTAACTTTTTTTTAAACATTTATTTTTATTTTAGAGAGCATGAGCAGGAGGGGCAGAGAGAGAGGAAGAGAGAATCTCAAGCAGACTCCAAGCTGAGTGAAGAGCCCAGTGCAAGCAGGGCTCAGTCTCACGACCCTGAGATGAAACCAAGAGTTGGACGCTTAACCGACTGCGCCCCCCTAGGCGCCCCCCTGGAACTAAGTTCTTAAGCATACATTTGTTTTAAGAATGAATGCATTTCCTAGTTTTGTTCACTGAGAAGGCATGGAAACAATGACAAACTCAGTAACAATGAGTCTTCCTAAGGCATCTCTACTTTAAAGGAACCAGAGCACACTAAAGGAATGTCTGATTCCAAATCAGGGGCAGAAAGCATTCAAAATGAATCTGTAATATCATGTCAGAAAGTAAGGAAGCTATCAATGATCACTGAGCACATGTTGAAAGGACTCAGGAGCCAACATAGAAGGGTCCCTAATGACTAAAAATGAGACTGAGTATCAAAAGGAAAAATGACTGAAATGGCCTGGGGTACATGTGTTAAAATGCAAGAGTTCTTTATGTTATTTTTATTTATTTTTTTAAAAGATTTATCCACTTATCTGAGAGAAAGAGTGCGAATGTATATGAGTGGGGGGAGGGGCAAAAGGAGAGAACCTTTAAGCAGACCATCTGCTGAGCATGGAGTCGGACATGGGGCTCAGTCCCACAACCCATGAGATCATGACCTGAGCCATAACCAAGAGTTGGACCCTCAACCAACTGAGCCACCCAGGTGTCCCCGCCCCGTGTTATTTTAAAAGATCACCTGTGGAGGCTGCAAGGAAAGCAATCCATTAATTTGAAAACTGGCAAATGGAAAGAACCAAGCATTTATTCCACATTTCTTGTGGACTTTTACCTTAGGATAATCAAATAGTTAATGTAGAATAAGACCATTTTACAACCCATATTGAAATAATAGATCTAGGCAACATCATCAATGTCTGCTAAAAACATCAAATGAAAGGTTGATGGAGGTCTTTATAAGGTATGAGTCAGACTGATACAGTAGGATCAGTATAGTAGGATACAGTAGGAAGTACACAGTACCACCTGTGGCATATTCTTGCTAAAAATTCTAACCTAAATCTGATGAAGCCTCAAAAATCTGTTTATAAGAAAAAGAATTTAGAAGAGTATGTTAACACCAAGGGATACCATCCCCAAAATCCCAAATGAGGGAAATTATGTAGAACTAATGACCTAGCTTCTTCAACAAATAATAAGAAAGGAGGGGGAGATCTCTACAGGACACATCAACCATATTCAGTGTGCCCCTATTTAGAATAAACCAACTATTAAAGAAATTATAAGCCTATTGGGGAAATTTATTTGATCATAATATGCTAATATCAAGGATATAATATTTTTTAATTAAGCTAATGGTATTCTGGATAATGATTTTGAAAAGTTGCTGTTTTGAGATGCATACTGAAGTATTTATAGATGAACTAAATAGGATGTTTGGGATTTGCTTTAAAATAATTGAGTAGGAGGTCACCTGGGTGGTTTAGTCAGTTGAGCATCCACCTCTTGATTTTGGCTCAGGTCATGATCTCAGGGTTGTGAAATTGAGTCCTATGTTGGGCTGTGTGCTCAGCACAGAGTCCACTTGAAGATTCTGTCTTCCTCTCCCTCTTCCCCCTTCCCGACTCTCTCACTTTCTCTGTCTCTCTCAAAAATAAATAAATTAAATCTTTTAAAAATAAAAAAAAATAATTCAGTAGGGAGTTCGGGGGTGTTTAGATGAAACCATATTTATTGGCTTAATTGTTGACACTGGGTGGTGAGTACATTGGAGATTTATAATACTGATCCCTATGTGTACTTAGAATTTGGATTTTAAAAATTATATATATTATATAGTTTTATACATTTTTAATATACAATTTAAAAATTTTACACAATTCATGACTACATCTAAATTTGATTTCCAGTTGGAGAATTATGGCTTGGGTGGAAGAAGGCTTTCTTGAGCCCTTTGCTGGCCATTGCAGCCTACTCAGAGTTTACCAGAGTAGTACTGACAACTTGGCATCCTGGTTTATCACTTGTGAGAGGTTCTACTCTTTACCTAAACTGCCCAGTGCTATAATATGTAATATTTCCACCAGAACCATTGTTATGACAAGATACATGTGAGAAGTACTTTTGTAAAACTTACAGCTGATAAAATGTTTATAGTATAAATTTTTTTCTTTTTAATATTTATTTATTTGACAGAGAGAGAGAGACAGTGAGAGAGGGAACACAAGCAGGGGGAGTAGGAGAGGGAGAAACAGACTCCCCGCCGAGCAGGGAGCCTGATGCAGGGCTCGATCCCGGACTCCAGGATCATGACCTGAGCCAAAGGCAGACACTTAATGACCGAGCCACCCAGGCACCCCTATAGTATAAATTTCTAACTTTAACATGTATATTTTAAAATAGGACCAAGTATCATATTTTAAATACATGTGTTTTACATAGAGTAGTATATTCACTTTAAATGAGTTAATTTTTATCAATGAAATATATACTCTGTAGACATTTTTTATTTTGAGACAACATTAGATTTTCTTTCTCTGAAACATTTTTCTGTCTTTTCTAGGAAGTTATTTTAGGTTATATGAAAGAGGTGCTTCCTCATCTCTAAGACTTAGCAGAAACTCCGATTTGAAGAGAATAAACGGATATTGTGCCAAACCACAAGAAAGTCCAAAAGCTCCACCCTGTAAGTTTTTATTCATTTTTCCAGTTATGGACTAAGCAGTTCCCAAAGAGTGAAACAACTTGGAATCAAAAGAACCTAAAAGACAGGTTGTCCCAGGGGTTCCTATGTCCTTCCCTATCTTGTAGTTCATGCCTCCCAAATTGTACTTACATTGGCTCATATGAAGCAATGCTTTCTTCATTTTCCTCATCTGTCATTTTTATCTCTTGTTTCCGGGATTAGATTGGAGCTTTTTGTTGGAGAATAGATGCATCAAATGAAATAGTGATCTAGAAATGGTCTTTTAAGGAATCCCAAAGATGAACCAAATTGGGTAATGATATTTTAGGTACAGTACAACTAGGGCTAGCCTCTGGCTTGGGCATTAATTTCAGCCATCGTTAGTCTTATTCTTAACTCAAACCCTTGTCACTGTCCACTGTGGAAACGAGGAGTATAATATATAAACTGTAGGGTCCCATGAGCTATTTGCTTGTTACTTCTTCATGGGAGTATACTAGGGTCAGGCAGGTCTTGGTAAATAGAAAAGAACTATCCTCAAAGAATAGTTATCAAGAGCTTAAAAATGTTTATACCCTTCAACCTGGTATTTCATTTCTGAGGATCTAGCCTCAGGAATAATCCCTATATGTAGAAAAAAGCTCTGAATGTAAAGACGTTCCCATATTTTATATGTAATAGGAAAATGAGAACTAATCTAAATGTCAGATAATCTGGGAATGATTAATTATGTATGTTAGATCTACTTGATGAGATTGTGCAGCTGTTGGAAATGGTGCTTGTAAATACCATGCATTGGCATGGAAAATGTTTGTCATGATGTCTGAACAAAGCAGGATACAGAAGTTTATATCATGTGTAAGCACAGCATGATACATATATAAATATATAAATTTATATATAAATACACATATAAATCCCCATACTTATGGGGATAAGACTTAGGAAACACTACCAAAATAGAAATACAGTGATTTTGCTATGACAGGAGCATTACGGATAGTTTTTATCTTCCTTTTTTACATCTATACTTTCCAAACTGTCTTTAATGTACTCAAAATGAAAACAACAAAAAAATAACAACTATAGAGCTCTGCCAAGTGCTGGAAGGGTTAAAAGATAAAACGACAGCAATACTATTTCTATACTTCTAAACCTCTTTTCTCACCGTCAGTTTTTTATGGATTTTTTTCCTAGTGACTTGCCAGTTCCTTTCGCTGTTGCATTCTGAATAAGTGAAAAGAACAGCACAAGCAAAGATGTGGAGGCGGGAGGGAGTGTGTCGTGGAGGCGGCAGCGAAGGGGACGGTGTGGGGGCGGGAGTGTGTCGTGGAGGCGGCAGTGAAGGAGATGGTCTGCTGCGAGAGATGTAGGCAGTACATGGAAGCTGGATGCAATTGTCTCCAGGGTCCTTCCTAACCCTAACATTCAGTGATGCCCTAACTTTTTCTGCTCCTTTAGTGACTTCTCCTTTTTTTGAAAGACTTTCCCTTCCCGTCTGCTGTTGTGTGTCTTTCTTATTCATCTGCCTCTTTGGTCACTCCATTTTTGTCTGCTGCCCCTTTCTCCTGTTCCCTCTCTGGGGTCTTTATCACCTTCACTGGCTCTCCCTTTGCACCAATGATTATCTCAACTTTGACTTCATTAATGAAACTATTCAGATGGCATAAATTTAGACTCGATATTATATAAAATGCCATTCATGCCTTTTCTTTTCCTAACTGGTTCTTTGCACAGTCTCTTTATCTTGGTTAACAGTACTGCTGTTGTCTTACTCATTCAGGTTTGAGGTTCTTCTTTGATTCCTTCCTTGTCTTATTTTAATCAGCCTCCAAAATCTTTCGGTCATCTTCAGATGGACTTTTCTGTCTCGGTTTCACCGATACAACTCCAGTTCAGACCACACCACCTTTCTTGCATTACAACCTCCCATTTGAACTTGTTGCCCACTCTGTCCTAGCCTTCCTTTCTGTCTTCCGTCTATTATGCAGATTAATCTTCTAAAACATTAACTTCTTCCTTGCTTCAAAGTGTACAGTGATTCCCAAATCAGGTTTAAAAAGCTTAGCCTGGCATTCAGGGTCTTTTATAATCTTATTTTACCTTATAACCTTTTTCTTTTTCTACTGAAGTCAAATAAGCTTCTCATTGTTCCCTTCCGAGTTCTTCTTAACCTTTATATCTTTGTTTAACATGGTGTTCTTTCAACTTTCAATGGCTAGGAAATAATACTTTTATTTTACCTCAGTCCCCATGGAATTTTGGAACCTCATTTGAGAAATGAGGCATCCTAAGAAATTCCATTCAAATAAAGCTCTAATTAGCTTGAGGTTTCTCAATGTTTCTGTTTCATGAATAGCTAAAAAGCATAAATAGCATTTTTTAATTGCTAAATTTGAGAGTTATAACCTCAAATAAGGTATCTTGTCTTGTTTTTCTCACAGACACTTACAGCCACAAAGTGCCATTACACAAACCTACACACTGGGAGAGGAAGATCCTGGTATGGTCAGGTCGCTTCAAAAAGGAAGATGAAATCCCAGAGACTGTCTCGTGAGTGCTAAACATAGGGGTTATAAGCAGCTTTTTCTTCCTCGCTGATTTCAAAGACAAAACAGTTCCTCTGAGTCTGACTATTTAAAAACTTTCAACCAAATTTTAGAATAGTTTTCACTTCTCAAAATGTTTCCTCTTTGGAAAGTACCTGCAGTAAAAACAGTGCTGGAAAATCTTGTATCTTATCATTGATATGTTATGTTGTGCCTAGTGGAGAGCTGTCGGGTACTCTGAAGTCAACTGATTGATTTCCTCTCCGAGCTACAGAAATATGACTAAGCAGTGATGTTCACTGTTCTTAGCTTATTTTTTATCTGGGTATATCAGTTAGGTACCATTGACAATAATTAATGGTTATATTCTACAAAATCCACTCAAGTATTCAACAATAGGCATAAAAGTATTTAAGAGCAACATATTCTCTTTCTGGGATCCCAAAAAGCATGCTTCCTGTCCCTATCACCAACTTCCTTAAACCCAGCCCTGGCTCAGATCTTAGGACTTTTTCAGAGTCTGTGGATGAGTATAGATTCCTCTAACCCAGGGTTTCTCAACCCCAGTGCTATCAACATTTTGGGCCAGATAATTCTTTGTTGGTGGGAGCTGTTGTGTACATGGTAGGATGTTCAGCAGCACCCTTGCTTGGCCTTTTCATCCCCCAGATGCCAGTAACACTCAGTGAAATAGGTCTCCAGACATTGCCAAATGTCCCCTGGGGGGTCAAAAAACAAAAAACAAAACAAAACAAAACAAAAAAACCCTGATTGAGGACCACTGCTCCAGCCTGATGTTAAAGACCCTGATTGATTTGCATCTTGGCCAAGAGATGCTGAGAAGCAGGTGCAATCTCCCCTGTGAGGCGTCATCCCCTTCGGAGACAGGGACTTGAGACAAAGCTCCTAGACGTTCCCTTCTGGTGAGAAACTGTTCCTGGACCTTCTGGCTTCTGGTTTCAAGGCATGATTTTAAACAATCTGAGTTCATTCAGGGTATCTTTTCCCAGGAAGAGAAGTGTTATTTGCTTTTTTGTTTACCAGGGCTTTAACATCCATTCTGCTTCTGCCTGTCAAATGAAATAGCACATTATTTTCACTAAAATTATTTCAGCAGGAAAGCCCTGGTCCTTCTTAGCTAGAGTGATAGTGTACTCTCCTGGAAAACAAGAGCAAGCTGAAAATGACAATGATATTAAGTTCTTTTTTTTTTTTTTGAGATTTTATTTATTCATTTGAGACAGAGAGATAGAGAGCACAAGCAGGGGAAGACGCAGAGCAAGAGGGAGAAGCACACTTCCCGCTGAGCAGAGAGCATGATGTGGGGCTCGATCCCAGAACCCTGGGATCATGACCTGAGCTGAAGGCAGACGCTTAACCGCCTGAGCCACCCAGGTGCCCTGATAATAAGTTCTTGCGTGTGTCTTAATTTCTTCCTGAATATTCCAGGAGAAAACAAGCTGCTGCATACCCATGGTCCTAATAGGTGCTATATAGATTTTACCATGGAACACCTTCCTCAGTCTGCCTTGGGGGTGGTTCCAAGATCCCCCTCAAGCCCAGATTACTACCAAGTCACCCTAGAATGTTCTGCTCTGAGCCTGGGCAAGTGTTCATCCATATGCTGGTAGTTTGGAACAGGCACTGCTTAACTTGTCCGTTATGATTGCTTCCTGTAGCATGGAGGGCAACCTCATGACCTTATTTAAATGCATTTTACTTTTTTAATATAAAATACTTTTAATGTATAATACATTATATGCATAATAATACATTATATATATAATTTTTTTTAATTTTAATATAAAAAAAATTTTTTTAAGAGAGAGAGACCACTGGCACAAGAGCAAGGTGGGGGAGGGGCAGAGGGAGAGAGAGAATCCCAAGCAGGCTCCACGTTCAGTGAGGAGCCCAATGCGAGGCTCCATCCCACGACCCTGAGATCATGACCTGAGCCGAAATCAAGAGTTGGATGCTTGGGCGCCTGGGTGGCTCAGATGGTTAGGCGTCTGCCTTCGGCTCAGGTCATGATCCCAGAGTCCTGAGATCAAGTCCCACATCGGGCTCCCTGCTCCTTGGGAGCCTGCTTCTCCCTCTGCCTCTCTCTCTTTCTGTTTCTCATGAATAAAAAAAAAAAGTTGGATGCTTAACCGAATGAGCCACTCAGGCACCCCAAAATGTAAAATACTTGTAATGAAAAGTAAAATATATTACTTTTCAGGAGTATCACAGCACTTTAGTTGGACATGCCAGTTCACATAAAATATTGTCAACATGGGTAGTTAGTTTGTGGTTGGTGGGCTCTCAGATGCTCTTAATAGAGCAATTCATTGTTCTTAGCAATTGTCCCTGGTTCCTCTCACTACCCTGCAGGCCCAGCTTCAGTGCCTGGAGAACTCCATTCACATTGCTGCCTCACTGGGTCCCAGCTCTTACATCACAATGTCTGTGCTTTCAGGCTTCTCCTACCACCTGCAATGCCTGGACCCTGTATCTCCTTCCAAGCATTTTTAAAGTACTTTTTTCCTCTTAATTTCAAAAGTAATGTGTGTTAAAAATCTGAGGAAAAAAAAGGAAAGATGGAAGTTAGCACTTTCATCCCATCATCTAGAGATAATCACTTCCTATTTACACCCCTACTGGGAACAGGCCAGTGCTCTGTCAAAGGTCCATTTGGCCTCTTCATGCCTTGCCCTGAGGATATACTAGACTCACGTAACAGAACCGCAACTCACTGCCTACATACAGAGTCACAAAGGTGGAGTGGCCTTCTCTTTAGACTGTTCCTTGGTAGGCCTCTTAGCTTTCACACAAGAATGATAATCCAACCCTCAATTTTCGGTTAAGGCACATAGGTCTGTATTCAGTGGACAGGTTCAAAGAGGTACTTGCCAAAGAGCACAGTCTCAAGTTCACCGTCATGCAGATTCAGCAAAACATTAGTTAAAAGGTAAACATTAAGGGAGCATTGCTTAAAGGATCTTTCTGCTGTTTCAGATAATCTCTGGAATCTATTCCTGGTTCTAAATCTAAGTATTAGATTTAGATTATTAAGTCTCTTCCTGGTTCAAGGCAGAGAGCAAAAACTTGGGTATAAAGAGCATATTGTTTAACTTTCTCCCACATTTGTTTTCTGAATTGTGATTTGTGTTGAAATGCACGAAACTCATGAAGCTCATTGGAGTATCTGTTGTCAGGATATTGTTAGACAATCACTGGATCATACAACATCTTCTTAAGAACCACAGGAAGAAACAGCTCCTATTTTCACTTTTAGCATTGGCTGCTAATGTGAAACTTGAAAGCCAAAATTGGGGACCACCATAGCAAGCATAGATTAATACACCTTGCCTTTTTTCCCCCCTTTGTTCCTGGATCCACTTTCTGTCTTCACGCTTTCTTCTCTTTTTCTTACTTTTAAGTTTGTGCTATCTTACTGGATGTTATTTTAATTAGTTTAAAGTGAGTTGTGAAAATGCCTCATCTTCCCCAAAATCCTACAAGATTTCCAGGCCCTACATCTTTTTTTTTTTTTTTTTTCCTATTTGTGGTACCACTCCACTTCTGATTTGTGGTACACAGAGTTTTATTTCCTACTGGCCACTTCAGAAAGAGAAAAGTTAACTTTCTCTCATAATCTCATTGTGTTTCTAGGTTTGAGATGCTTGATGCTGCAAAGAACAAGATCCGGGTGAAGGTCAGCTATGCAATGATTGCCCTGACAGTGGCAGGATGCATCTGGATGGTTATTGAGGGCAAGAAGGTGAGCATGGACTGCCTCTCTGTCTCTGTTTTCTACAAAGGATCTAAAGGAAATTAGGGGTTCACCCTCATATTTATTCTCTTGAGAAGAGGGGGCTACTTTCTACATGAGAAATGATAAGAAACAAAATGAGACACAGCAGGGACAAACCTGGGATGTCATGCCTGGGGATAAATAGCAAATCCTAATTTTGGCAAGGTAAAGGACTAAATTAGTTTTGCATAAAGTAAAAAAAAAATTGTTTAGTTATCACAGATGTCATAAATAATGTGAAACCAGAAAAATGTCCCTGGTGTATTTAATGACAACACCGGCATGTCTGTAAAGCACTTCCAGTACGTGGGCATATTTATCCATGCTCCAACTGCCTTAGCCCTGGTAAGCATTCTAGTCACTCTTCTGGATTTGAAGCTCAGCCACATTGGGCCATATGTGTAAGGACACTAGCTCCTAAACAAGTACATAGGCAGTTAAGGCCAGAAATACTTGTTTTAACCTGCATCATCATTAATAGCTATCATTAATTGAATACTCACTGTCTTCTAAGCACTTGGATTTTCTTTCATTTGAACCTCACAATAGCATGACAAAATAGGTACTATTATTAGGACCTCATTTATAGATGAGGAAACATAGCTTAGAAAGCTCTGCTACTTTGCCCAAGGTCACACATATAAATGGCAGAGCCAGAGTTTGAACCTAGACCTAACTGAGGTGATAGTAAAATTATTTTAATCCCACTTATAATAATAATCCCACTTCTTAAGGGCTCATTATATAGCAGGCAGTTTAACTCAATATCCTAAGAACCTAAGCAGTAGGTTCTCTTATTATCTGTACTTTATAAAAGAGGAACCTGAAGCTTAGAGATACTAAATCATTTTCCCAAAGTCACATACCTAGTAAGTGGCAGGATAAAAATTTAGAGCCAAGTTTGCAAGTTCCCAAACTCATATAATACTATCTTGTGATTAAAATATAGGGTTTTTTTTAATATGAGCAGCACTGGTCAAGCACTTATTTTAATACCATGTCTAATTTTATATATCGCAGCTTCCATGTACAAAGGGATGTCTTATATCTATTATCAGATATTAAAAAGGTTCTTCTACCAACTCAGCAGTAACTGACTTCCCTTATCCCCAGTGAGTGCAGAGTAAAAGGAAATGAACTTCTGGCTCTCTTCAGACTTTTGGAGTGGAAAATACTGACCATTTAGACGGACCTTATGGGAGCATGAAGGACAAGTGTGCAGGACTGAGTGAAGTTCTTTTGACATCTCTTTCTACCCCACTTCAGATTTTCTTCTGGTTTCCTCTTGGACTTCTCATGCTTAGTTCTCAGACTGAAACCTACAGAAGCATGTGGACAGGACATAGAGGCTTCCAGAATTCCAAGAAATCTGCATTGCTTTTGTATACTTGATTAGACTAAGCTGAGTCTGAATACTCTAGAAACAAGTTACCCCTTGGGATTTCTTCTAGCCTCATCTAAGGGTATACACCATGTGCTTCAAGAGAGTTTCCCTCCTTTATATGCCAGAAAACCATCTCATTTGTTTTACGTAGAACTATCCATTTCTTACAGATGGTAAATGCTACTAGAATGAAGAATTTTTAGACTTACTGCTATTTGGAAGAGAGAAATTAGCCGTCGTATTTTGTCCTCACCATCAACTTACCATTCCTGTTCTCCTCTCCCTTCCCATACCTAATTCGTTACATGTGAAATTACGCAGACATAAGAAAATTCCTCCTTATATATAGGGTGCTAGTTTATTTGGTATAGAACTTTTGAAACTGGTCTGCTTATGTAAGCTTCATGGGCATGTAACAGGGCACATGGAAACAAGGGAGAGGATGGTTGTCTCCCCCCCACTGCTGTTTGCTGTCAAAGGATGGCGTAGTGGGATAGATACTAGTCAGAGTCATCAGTCACAGTATTTGGTGAAGTCTGGGATCCCCAAAGCTGAATATTTTTGGTAAAAGAGGAGTAAGGAGTTAGAAGGGTATGAAAGTATACAAATGAGTTGGGGGAGGAAAAATGGTAGCAACAAAGAAAAGGAAAAGAAAAAAAAGATAGAAATGGAAACAAAAAGGTATTCAATACTAAAGAGAGAGGAAAAAGGAAAAGATAAAGGAAGAAATTATAAGAGAAGAAGCTAGATTTAAAGAAACAGGCCAGAAAGAAAGAGAAGGTAGAGGGTGTGGCATTTCTCTCATGCTTGACTGGATGGGCTACTGGACTGTGAAGTTTTAGAGGAAGCAGAAGGCACACGGAGGGGGCTTCTGTGCTCAGTGTGTCCACGGCAGAGCATTCTGGGCCTGCGCTGCCCTAGTTAATCAGCTGACATCAGTGCAGGGTAATGACATCCTTCCCAAACCCGCATAAATAATCACTTGTTCAAATTTGTTTCACTCTAGGCTGTCAAAAGAAACGAGTCTTTAACAAGCCTGAACTTAGAAAAAAAAGCTCGCCTGAGAGAAGCAGCAGCTCTGAAAGCCAAAACAGAGTAGCAGAGGTATCCGTGTTGGCTGGATTTTGAAATTGCAGGAATAATGTTGCAGCAATTAGCCTGTATTAAAAAGAATACAGTATGAGGATCCATTTCATGAAAGTATGGTTTGCACAGACTTATAATTTCCCCCATTTTTGATATAGTGGGACAAATAAATTTCCTTAAATGACTTGTCTATATTTTTGTGGCTTGGATCCAGGTTAAATGCAGCCTTTCAGCTTTTTGGAGAAAATGAATGAAAAATGGGGCAACTTATTTAAACTTTAATATTAACTCTTCTTTAGGGAGTCAGAAACCGTATCTTACTTTAATTTCCATTACCAAAGTGATTTTCTCTGCAGAAGCCAAAATGGCTTCTAGTTCTGTATTTCTCTCTCTTGTGTACTCATTTCTAAAGAGGTAAGGAAGACCAGCTGAGTACAGTGCCCAGGTGCATCTTGGAGAGCTAACCTCCCCAAATGCATTGGTGCTTCACGAGAGCCCTGCGAAGTAGCCCCATCAAACTCTGCCATCTTTGGGCATGCTGGCAGACAGAGGCTTGTCAGAGAGCAGTCTTGGAAAAGGTCCCTGTAAGGTGATGAGAGTGGTCCGACCACAAGTTTCTGAGAACTCTGAAATCCCAGCACCATGAACTTGCTTGGGGCCAGTAGTCACCTCTTCCCCATAGCTTAGAATTCCCAACTGGTCCTTTTCCTTTTACCTTTATACTAAATTTCTCAATTATGAAAATCTTTCAAATGCATTCTTCTAAGTTTCGAAAGATAAGCTTTTGCACATGGTTATAACGTATTTCATTTACACTTCAGGATGCCAATCCGTCTCATATTTAGGTCTGGATGCTGGTTTCTATTTTAAGTGTTTGATATATTCTCACATGCCTCATATTAATGGATGACATGGACGACAAGTCCTTGTAGCCATCCCAACCTGCTAGTTTTCTCCAGAGGCAGCTGCATTGGAACTTGATTTAATAAACTAAGTAAAATGGAATGCACCACATATAAAATTTCATAATCTATCTTATGTTAATGATGTCTGTGAATATAGAGTAATTTGATCTTAGCTTTTTAGATACTGAGTTCTTTGATTTTAATGTACTTCTTTTAAAAATAAGTAATTTTTCTTCAAAGAACACTATCATTTTTAACTTCTAAAGAAGTACTTTAAAGTGTTATCTTGGAGATTTATTGTAAAAAAAAAATGTTTCATTAAAGCAAAACTCACAAATGTTACCATGCAGCAAGAATTTTCATGATCATTTCTCATTTTGTGTCATTCTCCTATTCAGTTACTTAGAGTAACTACCTCTTTATGGGTTAAATATAAATTTCTTGGCCAGAATTGTCTCTGTCTAATCCCAGTTCTCCCACTACCCTCACATAATACCTTTTTGGCAGTCATCTTACTAATAACTCTAATACCCTATATTCCTCAGAACTTGTCAAGCAAATCATTTAATGAGCACTGTTATAAGATACTAAAGAATATGAAAAACATAAGACAGTTTAGCCCTGTTACTTTCAATTGTACTATTTTTTGCTTAATTTCTAGGTTTTTTTTTCATGTTTATCATGTCTCTGTAGGTAAAGTGGTCAGAAACCATTTCTACTTTATATTTCCTATAAGCCCTGTCTGACTATAAAGTTAATACATGAGCCTATGGTCAGATACTTTTTTAATCAACAAAAGTAATAACAGTATGGGGACATGATTCCAAACGTTTATTGAAAGTAGGCAAGGAATGAATAAAGTGGTGGTGGTATAATTCATTGTCATTCATCAAACATTACCTTAATCCCTTATATATATATAAAAATACCGAGAATACAAAAATGAATAAAACATACTTCTTTACAGAGCTCATAACTTACAGAAACATGGTCCATGAAACCGTTACAATACAAACTGGTAAAAGATAAATTCTGAACTTTATGTAACAGTAGCTATAGAAAGAAACAAAACCTAACTCAGCTGTCAGTTGTGGTTGGAGTCAGGCAGGCAGTGCTGGTCCACAAGTGGCGGTTTCTGAACTGAGTTTGAAGCATGGGTAGGAGTTACTAGGTCAGACACATAGTGAAAGAGAATAGCCTCACCATTTAGACATTTAGCTTGCTTGATAATCATGAGGCACAATCTGACCAGGATAGTGAGAAGTCCCTCAACAAAATGCCATTTATAATGTTTTGGTTTACTTTTAGTTTTTAATCTCCATAAAAAACTTAAAATGTTTAACAGACCTAACCGTGACTTATTTTTCCCAATTTATAGACTTGATTCCATGGAACCATTTCATGTGTGAGTGGCATCTGCCATACATCTCCATTCCACCTAATCCCAGGCTTATGTTCTTATTCATCAGATCTCCCAAACCAGGAACACTGGAGTTATTCCAAACTCCTGCTCCCTTCATTTAGTCAGTCATCCTATCTTGTAAACCTTACTTCTAAATATTTCTCAAATACACTGAGAGGAACAGAATGGTAATCTGTTCCGGGATAGACATAAGAGGTAATACCAGACCTGAAGATTAAATGTCAGAAGCCGTAGGTTCTAGACTTGCTTTTCCAATTGTCTTGCTTTGTAAATTTAGGTTATAGGTCTGAAATCTTATAATCTAAGACAATGGTTTTTTGTTTTGTTTTTAAAGATTTTATTTATTTATTTGTCAGAGAGAGTGTGGGCACAAGCAGGCTCCCTGCTGGGCAAGGAGCCCAATGTGGGACTCGATCCCAGGAGCCTGGGATCATGACCTGAGCCCAAGGCAGACACTTAACCGACTGAGCCATCCAGGCATTCCCCCCCCCTTTTTAAAGATTTTATTTATTTATTTGTCAGAGAGAGAGAGAAAGGCAAAGTTGAAAAGAAATACAAAACCATACCAAAATTAAGAGAAACCATCTTTTTAAATACGGGGTTTTTTTTGCCAACTTGCCTCTAACTACTTGATTTCTAAAGGGTTTAGTAGTTACTCTTCCACAGTTTAATTGTTTTGTCATTTCCTAATGCTGCTGATGCAATGATGTTTTCTGTAGGATGACAGGCTGCTGAGATTACAACATCTGTATGACCTTGTAATTTCTGTACAATCTCTTTAGTCTGAAGGTTCCAAATGTAAACGAGATTATCTTCTGAACCAGACACAATCCATTTTCCACCAGTAACTGAAAAATTGGCAAATATGCAGTATTTCTCATTCTTATGACCAGTGTATGTTTTCAGGCATCTGCCTCTGCTATAATCCCACAGTTTAAGAGTATTGTCCAAAGTTGCAATCAGAAGGTATCTTCCATTTGGAGAAAATTTTACAAAAGAGATAGGAGGGTTATCATCATCAACAAGTGTTTTTAAACACTGACCTGATGCAGCATCCCAAATTCTACAGACACCATCATAGCTACCTGACACAATCAAGGACCCGCTACAATTAAAATGAACAGCAGAAACTGGGTCAGAATGAGCAGACAAAGTCTTGAGGCACTTTCCTGTTTTCACCTCCCATATTTTCACACTCTCATCAAAAGATCCTGAAATGATGAGATTGGATGATGGATTGAAATTACAGCAAAAAACATAATTACTATGCCCCTTCAGCGTTTTCACACATTTTCCAGATCTCACATCCCAAATCTTTAGCGTTTTATCATCTGAGGCAGAAACAAGGCGACTGGAATCTGATGACCAGGCAACATCTGATATTTCCAGACTGTGACCATAAAGTGTTTTCTCATACTTTCCATCATAGGCTCCCCAAATTATAATTACTTTGTCAGCAGAAGAACTTGCTAGCCATTCTCCATTAGGACTAAACTTAACCGATGATACTGCATCCATATGCCCCACGAGAGTAAATTTAAGAGCATAGTTTGGTTTTTCAGACATTTGCTTGCTCCGATTGGCTGATAAGGGGAGGCTCGACTCTGCTTTAGCATCTCCTGCCTCCTTTGTCGCCATGTTTCTGAAGCTCCAAGTCAGTAGGTGAGGTAAGCGTCCGGCCCTGAACCAGGCAGCCCAATATTCTGACTTTCTGCCCAGCAAAATGAAGATAAAAACATCAGACTCAAAAATAAACGGTCTTTTAGTGATTATAGTTTCTGGGCTGTCTTTAAACTACCCTATACAACGATTCAGCAGCACGGCTTGGACCACTTCCCTTTTTTGCTTGCTTCCTCCTTCGTAAACAAATACTTGAGAAATAATACTAGAAGGGTCCAATGCGCTGTCGGCAAGTGAGGTATGTTTTGGGTATTCTGTGAACGTATAAAGCCGTGCAAAGTGACGAGGGGCGTGGGTGATCTACAAAAAGTATTTTTTCACCGCCCCTCCCACAACTCCGAAACATTTAGAACACTGAGCAAGCCTACCAGTCAGACAGACTTTCGGTACTTGAGCATGAATGAATCGCCGCTTAAACAAACGATTTCAGGAAGTCAAAACAAAAAACAAAAACCTGTGCAGGCACCACGAACTGCGGCCCGGGCGCGGGCTGCAGTCCGCGGATAAACACGGGCGCACCGCCGCGTCAATCCAACCCAGCTGGCAGGACGGTGGAGCGCATGTGCACTCCAACTTCGAGCCGAGATGACCAATGGGAGAGGTCTGCCTGCGCTTGCGCAAAGGAAAGCGCTGGCGTTTCCTTCCGGTCTTCTTTGGCAGAGGCTGCCACACACAAATGCTGGACTTCCTTCTTTTCCGTGTTGGTAGGTGTACTGGGCTTCTCCCAGACCTCACTGACTAGCGTCGGTAGCAGTGAATGTTTCAAAGAACATTCATTTCTTTTTGGAAACCGTGTCACGAGAAAGAACTGCATTTTCCGATTCTCTTAGTGGAAAGTTAAGCCCACATTTGGCACCTAGCTAGCCGTCCATCCCGGGGACTAAGCAGCCGCTTCGCGGGCGGCTTTGGTTCTGCTCCTCTCTACTCTTGTGGTATAGAGCCTGGTGGCGTGTACTTAAGGCTGCAGATAGGCAAGGGGAGCTTAGCCGAATTTACGCCCAGATTATAAAGCTTCTGGTTTAAAAGTTTTGCGTAAACGTTTCGGGAAGCAATGTGTTGTGGGCCTCCAAAAGCCAGTGCTTAGGGCATGGTAGTGCCGTGGAAACGAGCAAACGTTTTAGCATTTCCTTATGCCTTAAACTTTTTAAGAGAAAAGGTCAGATCTGCATAGGTGCTTGAGA